AACAGTGGAGCCACGTGCAACGACTGTGCCACCGGAGGGGTCGGCTAGAGTGACAGAGACCGGGACTGTGAGCAGTGTGACCGTGGTGGAGTCGCGGAAGAAGCAGCGAGACGTGCCTGAGTCTAGAGTGCAAGAGTGCAAGGCCTCTTCTCACTCTGCACCGGCGCTAGCTGAGTCACAAGAACCTATACTAGCAGCCTCTACACTAGCAACTCTAGGCACACACGAGTAACAATCATCCTCAACACTAGCAGAAGCAGCATACATCGCATACATGCCAGCATGGATCACGTCCCAGTCACAAGCAAACATATCGATGTCCTTCTAAAGCAAGGCTAGCCAGTAAGGAGTCGTCATCTGCTCACCATGCTCCGCACGATACAAATCGTCGAGGCGAAAGAAGCAGCGAGGCTCCGTGTGGTCGGTGCGAATGCAAGTTGCTCCAGGCTGACCTGTACGACGGACGTACCCGCAGCACGCTGGGCCACCTGAGCTGCCACGCCGGATCGCCCACTCACGAAGTTGCTGCGCGAGAGCGGCACCTGCCGGCTCAGCTGCTGCTGCTGTCCACCCCCAGAGCCGCCGCCACCACCTGCTGCACCACCAGACGCAGCAGTACGAGTAGCCGAACCTCCAGCTCCTCTTCTGCCAGCTCCACCTCGAGCGCCACTCCCGCCCCCTCCAACACCCCTACTGCCCCCACCACCCCCGCCACCTCCAGTGCCGCCGCCACCTCCTCCTCCCCCACCACCCCCACCACCACCACCCCCTCCACTGCCACCGCCACCCCCACCACCCCCACCACCCCCACCCTTGCCTCCCTTGCCCTTGCCGCTGCGGCGCCTCCCAATAGGAGCAGACGCAGCACTGACTTCCTCAGCACGAAGGAAGTCAACAGCAGCAGCAGCAGAGGTAACAGAGGGGAGGGGAGTGCCACGGGAGGCAGCTACAGCAAGGGCAACAGACTCAGCCTCTAAGAGACGGGTCTCAAAAGTGGCTAGGGTGATCTTAGTGGAGTCGAGGGCGAGAAAGTGGTATCGAACAGCACGAAGGGTGTCAGGGAGGCGGGTCGTGAGGAAGTAGAGAGTAAGATACATGGGCGGCTGGTTCTCAGCCAGAAAGTCTGGCTTGAGAGCGGCACGGTAGCGTGTGTCAAGGGAGCGCAGGTGAGTCATGAGGTCATCGACAGTGATGAAGTCGGACAGCTCAGGAAAGAGGAACGGCAGCGCAAGTCGGCCTATCGCAGCAGAGGACGGGGAGGAGTAACGCTTGACTATAGCATCACAAAGCGCTTTAACCGTCTTAAGCAGGCAAAAATGGGGGCGCTGGTCTAGCGGAAGGTGGCTACAGACAGCGAGGGCAGCAGTAGCATCGCGAGTAGTCCACTGGGAACGAAGGATATAGTCAGCTGAGTCAGAAGGGGCAGCGAGGGACCCCGAGGTATGATCATACAGCGAGACATCCTCCCTAGTAACACTCTGCAGGTACCAGTGGAGGTCCTCTAGCCAGGACTCAAACAGTATCGGGTGGCCCTCGGCGTCAAAGGTGAGCACAGTGGGTGTCGCCATAGCAGCAGGAACTGCAGCAGCAGTGGCAGTGATAGCAGCAGTAGCAGCAATACTAAAATGGCAGCAGGGAGAACAGCACGGGTGCGCGGCGCAGGGCAGCACTAGTGCATGGGGCGGCTCGGCTCAGCTCGATAGGGCGGGCGCAGGCAGCAGTAGCAGCTGTGCTGTAGCGCAGCAGCACGGGCATGAGCTGGCGGCACAGGAAGCGCAGTACAGGGCATGGCAAGCGTGCGGGCAGGGCAAGCGCTCACGAGGAGGGCACGGTGCAGGGCAGCGTGCAGGCGGCAGATGCAGCAGCAGCACTTGCGCACGGGCAGGGCAGGGGCGCGGGCAGCGCTACAGGGCAGGGCAGAGGCGCGGAGGCGCTGGGCAGTGGGGTACGGATGGGCACGGGCAGCGGGGCACGCGCTGGCGCTGGGCAGCGGGGCACGCGCAGGCGCTGGGCAGCGGGGCACGCGCGGGCACTAGGCAGCAGAGCGCGCGCTGGCGCTGGGCAGCTGGGCACGCGCGGGTGCTGGGCAGCGGGGCACGTGGGGGCACGGTGCAGCAGGGCGCGCTCTGGCGCTGGGCACCTAGGCACGCGCGGGCACGGGGCAGCGGGGCACGTGCGGGCGCAGGGCAGCGGGGCGCGCGCAGGCGCTGGGCAGCGAGGCACGCGCAAGCGTTGGGCAGCGGGGCACGCGCAAGCGTTGGGCAGCGGGGCGCGCTCTGGCTATAAGGCAGCGCGTAAGGTAGCGTGCGTGTCAACAGGAGCGCGGGGCAGCACGACACGCGTGGGGCAGCGCGATCGTGGAGGGCAGCGGAAAAATTAACGGTGGGCCCGGAAAACAAAAAGGTATAACGGTCCTAAGGACCTACATTCGCTGAAACCATGTTAGAATCTTAGTAGGAAGAAGAAGTGTCGATTAGGTCAAGGGAGGGGGTACAAGAACAATGTTGAGATGATTTGTGTACTCCCTAGAGCTAGCCCCAATATAGTATAGATGAACCTAAACATATATATTTTGACACACGGTTATTTTCGATGCTGCCCAGAGGTACCCATTTGTCTTCGGTGGGGGTGCGATCCTTCCAGCGGATGAGGAATTTAATCCTCCGAGATCACTGGGGGTGGCGAATCCGATGGCTCAAAATTTTCTCGAGGTCGACAATGGGCTCCGATGCAGGACGCGTCATCGAGGGTTGTCGATGTCGTGGCAGTTGGCTCGTGGTTGGGATGTATGGTCGAAATAGGCTGACATGGAACGACAGGCTGATGTACAGTCGGCGGGTAACAGGAGATGGGCGGTGACGGGCATGCTCATGTGGCTCATCTGATACGGGCCACAGTAGAGCGAGCGAAGTTTCGGCACGACGTCCAGGCGTAAATTCGGAGTGTCGAGCAGAATCTAGTCTCCTGACTGGTACGTCACGGGGCGACGGTGGGGATCGGTGTTTCTCTTAGCGATCACATTTGCTTTTACTTAATTGCCCCTGCTGCGCGTGTTTGGGCAGCCTGCCGGATTTCCGCAAACTGTTGCGCGCGTGGTGTCAGGCTGTCAGGACTCGGCGTCATGGGCACTGTAGGGTTTTGCGCATAGTTGAGTTAGAATTGCTACTGCTACGTGGTTGCTGACGTGGCGTTGTTGTACGCAAACTCGATCAGCGGCAATTGTCGCTCGCATGTTGCGGGGTCGTCACACATGGCGCAAATCAGCTGCTCCATGGTCTGGTTCGTTCTTTCTGTTTGTCCGTCGGTTTCGGGGTGGTACGACGAGCTGGACTATAGTCGGGTCCCAAAATGCTCCAAAAGGTTTTTCCAGAATTTGCTTTGTGCCCCTGTCGCTGATGATGGCGGCTGGTATCCCGTGCAGGCGAACCACGGTTGCGTTGAACAGGCGAGCGGTTTATTCGGCTGCGATCGATTTCTTGCACGCAACGAAATGCACCGTCTTCGTCAACCGGTCGACGACGACCGTGACCGCGTCGTTACCCCCGAGGCTCGCATGTAATCCTGTGACGAAGTCCATTGTCACTTGCTGCCAGGCGCGTTCGGGCAGTGGAATCGGCTGCAGTTGACCCGCATTTTTTTTTTGCGCGAACTCTTCATCACCTGACACGTGAAGCATGATCCCACGTTGTGCTGTACGTCGGTCAACAGCTACGTGCAGTTGCTGCCGCGATTTTTCAACCCCGAAGTGACCCGAAATAGTCCCGTCGTGTGCCTCTTGCAGTAGTAGTTCCCGTAGCATCGAGTATGCCGGTACCCAGATGCGGTTGGTGCCAGTCTTTACGGAATAAACTCCCTTAGTCTATGCCAGCTGCTTCGAATCTCCAGTGGTGAAAAATGGGTCGGTGCGGTAGCCGTGGGTAAATAGTCCGTTCAGTAGTGGGTTGGTCTGGGCGAGTAGGATGGCGTGAAGTTGGGCTGTAGGGCGGGTCAGGGCGTCGACGATATTCGATGCACCCTGTCTAATCCTGTCAGGTAGCACCGCCACATCTTGAATGCGTGCACGATCGCAAGCATTTGCGTGTATCAGATAGTTGCGTTCGTGTGGGTGAAGCTTGCGGGACTCGAACGCGATTGGCTGGAGGCCATTCCCGAAGTCCAGCAATAGTACGGCTCGACGGCGATGTCACTTTCGTCGGTGACGAACTCGAACAGGCGGTGAGGATCAGCGATGCGCAACACGGGCGGCGAGCACAAAATTTGTTTCAGGGCAGAGAAGGCAGCTCGCTCTTTCTCCTCCCAAGTATACTCAACCCCCTTCCTCAGTAGGTCGGTCAGCGGGGCAGTAAGCTTCGCCATGTTGGGGACGAACCGACGCAAGTAGTTGATGACAAAAAAAAATTTGCAGCTCGGTCAGGTTGGTCAGCGGGTTCCAGGCCTGAATCGTGGCAATCTTCTTAGGGTCTATTTCCACGCCGTTGGCCGAAATTATGTGGCCCAAAAAAATCAGTATGTCCCTTAGAAATTCACACTTCGATGTTTTTGTGAGCAGACAGTTCTCAGCTAAAATCTTGAAGATAGTGAGTGCTGTCCAGTAAGTGTTGTGTTCTGCCAGGGCTGTAAATCAGTATTGTCGAGTTCCAAGAATGAAAGTAAGAAACTAGGGTTTACGTCGGGCACAGGCTTAGGAGCCTAGGCCAAGGTTGTCGAGAGTTGTCACCAAGAGAACGTCGAGAATGGTAGACTTAAACACTATAGAACACGAGGTATATATAGCAAAGCAACAAAGAATGAGGTACACCAACATACAAGAGCACTACACCACAGTTACACTACACGCAGATATTATAAATAGATACAAATCTATTTCGACACCCCCCTTATCTGCCTGAAGTGAAAAACCATGTGCAAAGCCCCACTTGAAGGGGTACACATGTAAAACCCTCACTGGGCATGGGAACGCCCCGCAGCAGGTGCTCAATGTGGAGGAGCCGAAAATGCGTATGCGAAAGCGAGATGGCAAAAGAGACAGAACAGAACGAGCACGGAACGGGCAGCAACTACACAAGGGAAACCACGGGCAAGGCACGGGTGGGGCACGGGTAGGGCACGAGCAGCACGGGTGGGGCACGGGTAGGACACGGGCAGCAAGACAACACGGGCAAGGTACGGCCGGCACGGGAGACACGGGGTGCAGGGTGCAGGGTGCGGGGTGCAGGTAGGACACGGGCAGCACGGGAAGCACGTGGCGGCAGGGCACGGGAGGCACGTGGCAGCAGGGCACGGGCAGGAAGGCACAGGAAGGCACGGGGCGGCAGCACGGACAACAAGAACGGCAGCACGGGAACGGGGAGCACGGGAGACACGGGGCCGACACGGGGTGGCGACCTGGACGACGGAAACGGGCAGCACGCGAATGGGCAGCACGAAGGTACGAGGCGGCAGCACGGTACGGGTAGCACGGGAGGCACGGGAACAACACTGGGGCGGCATCACGGACGACACGGGAACGCGCAGCATGGGAGGCACGGGTGGGACACAGACAGCACGGGAACGGGTGGCACGGGAGACACGGGAACGGGCACGGTCGGCACGAAAGGCACTGGAACGGGCACGGGCAGCACGGGAAGCACGGGATTGGACCCTGGCAGCAGGGGAAGCACGGGTGAGCACGGGCAGCATGGGAAGCACGGGAACGGGAAGTACGAAAGACACAGGCAACAAGCACTGGCAGCACGGGAGATACGAGAATGGGACACTGGCAGCACGGGAGGCACGGGAAGCACGGGTAGGACATGGACAGGGGATGAAATGAGGAGGAGGCAGCTGATGCTGCAGCTGGACTCACCCACCCACACCTTCTGAACCTCTTCCCCACAGCAGCAACAGCGGCAGAGAGAGAGAGAGAGAGGAAGAGTTGTGGCGACAGATGCTGCAGCTGGATCACCGACCCACACCCCCTGATCCTCCCCCCCACAGCAGCAGCAGCGGCAAAGAGAGAGAGGGGGAGGTGTGGCGGCAGTTGCTGTAGGTGGATCTCAAACCACCCACACCCCCTGAACCCACCCACCCACCCCCCCCCCCCCCCACCAAATAGCAGCAGCGATAGACAGTTGCTGTAGGTGGATCTCAAACCACCCACACCCCCTGTAGCGGAACTGCTCGACCGCTTCGAGAGAGACATCTAGGAGAACCTACCGTGACCGTTGACCATCTTCCTAGGCCGGTGACCGGCGTCAAGTTGCGGTGCTGTGCGTCTCGGCCAACGAAAACAAAAAGATGCAGTCGTCCCATCGCTTTCACTGTCAGACAAGCCATACAGCGAGTTGACGATTTGCCGACGCTTGCAGTATCTATCCACCCACGTTAACGCGTACCCTCGGACTTTCCTGCCATATGTCCGAACCTCTCAGTATTGAGGCTCCGCGAAACGCGTTCCGCTACATTCCTTCGTTCGCGTGAAGCCAAATCGGCGTTGACTGGAAATGGCAAGGTGCGATCCCGGCAGGCAATGTTCGAGTCGACTCAAAAGTCGACCAGCTATCTGCAAAAAAACATTTCTCTCCTCAGAATCTCGTGACGGGTACACTCATCAGTAGGCATCCCAGTTGTTGCTGATAGAGCTGGTGATTCGCGACTGGGAGTGGCGTGGTACCCGGGGTGTGTCAAGGGGGAGGAGTGCGGAACGGTGTGGAGAGGTTGATTGGGGCGATGGGTAACTTCTTCCCGAGCGTCTCCGCATACTTAGCGGCGGAGAGGTGGATAGTATTGGCAGACTAGGTGATGTTGAGTCCCAGGAACTTGATTACCGAGTATGAGATAGTCCTATTACCCTCGCGCCTTCCTTCCGCCCCTCTTGCACGCCTGTGACAGTGTGGGACCTCTAGACGGTTACACTCCAATGGGAAGCCAAGCTTGTGCACATCTTATGTTTCTCATCGATCGTGTGCCTTCACTGTTTGACACACTACACTGCAGGAAAGAGGCGGACCTGATAGTGTGGGACCTCAAGACGGGTACACTCAAATGAGGCCAAGCTGGTGGGTGCACTTGCCTCCTCGGCTGCTGCATGCTGCTGTGGACCCGATCCCAGTGTACGGCAAACGAGGAGTGAAGTGCAGCCGCTGTTGCTGTTGGCAGATACAGTACTCGCCTCTCCTCCGTTATGCTCATTCCCCCCTTCCTTCCCGCCTCCTTTGATTTCCCTCACGCTTCTTTGCTTTCTTCGTTCTGACTTCTTCTCTACTTCCTTCCCCTCAGCGTTTCTCCCCTTCTCGTTTCTTATGGTGAATTTCTTGCCTTTTATAACACCTTTCTTATGCAGTGTACTTCTTCTTTGGTACCAAGTTCCGAGAGCCAGTCTCATCTATATGTGTGCCAATGCATGTTTTCCCCTGTTGGCATTGGCACATGCGTCACTGCACTGATTCGTATGCATCCCATTTCAGTAACCTCACAAGCGTGGCTGTCAGTGGAAGTCTCCCTGGCAGCATCAGTCGCCTCACTGCACTCCAGTTCCTGTATCCCTTCCTAACCAACCTCTCCTCCCTAAACCTCTCCGCTCTCCTTCCTAAGCCGTTCGTAAACCTCTCCACTCTGCTCTTCCATAGCCTAGCTGGCACCTCATTCCTATCCGCTTTTCACATCCGCTTCTCCTCATTCTCTCGCAACGCACTAATCAGTTGCTACCATGCACCTCCATCCTTCCCTAACTCACTTTCCCTCCATCTACACTGCCCCCAACATTCAGGCACATTGGGATGCCTCCGCTTGTTTCCTTTCCTTATCCATATATTATCGACGACCTCACAAAGTGAGACTGATGGGGATGACGCATATATCTCTCTTTTTGTCTGCTGTTGCATGCCATGGTGCAAATCAGCCAATTTGCAAGAGCAGTAGCAGCATAACATGGCTACGGAAGAGAAATATTATGTGTAGGCTGGCGGTCAGGTGCAGGTGGTTGCATCTTGAGAATCTGATGCTCGGGATGCGCAAGGAATCACTTCAGAATGCGATGGTACAGTGAAGCCGTTATGAGGATGTCAGCCGTGTGCTCATGCCTCATTTTGCATGCCTCCTTTCTTTGCCACACCCAAGGTGGAAAATACACGATAAAATCAGTTATTTTCGATGGTCTTTTACAGTACCTTTTGGGAAAAGAACGACGTTCCTTTGTTAGAAAATAAAGCGCTTCAATTCCAAACATGTTGTTACGAGCAGAAGAGCACTTCACAGCATCTCCTGGCGAGTCAACAGCACTAACAGCCCCCACATTCTCCTTACAACAGATTACCCTTGTTACATCAGCCGTTTGTAACTTTTACTGAAAAGTGCAATGGTTTTTGTTCTACCTGTTTTGTTTGTTTGTTTAATTGGTTTTTTTGTGTTTTGTTTTTTTGTGTTTTGTTTTGTTTTGTTTTGTTTTGTTTTTTTTTTTTTACGTTCTTTTGCGGACGTTTTTCAAGGCAACGTATTTGAGTGTCAAAGTTGGAAAAAATGAAAAGAGAAGAAAAACTTGTTTCTTTGCGCCTTGGCCACACTTCAGTGCCTTTTGTTATCCAAGCTGATCAATCTCACGTGGTCAATGCTCCATGAACGCACGCAAATGGGGTTTCTGCTCCCCCCCCTGATCCTGTGACTACTGCTGCTTTAGCCCCCACGCGTCTACGTTTGCACGCCACCCTCCCTGCTGCCTCTGTCTATCTTGCATTATCATTCGATTGAGCCCCACTGTGATGCAAGGCTCCATGGACGACCTCTCGTGTCTCGCCCCACTCACTTGCCTCCAGGACCTGTACGCTTTGCTTCCTCCCAACCCGCCTTCCCCTCTTTCTAGCTCATCCCTGCCCGCCGCCCCCCCCCCCCCCCCCCCCCCCCTCCCTTGCTCTTCCGCTCATCCATACCCGCCGCCATCTCCTCTTGCTCTGCCATTACCTGTTCCTATTCATTGTGCAACAATGAGCTCATGGACTAAGTCTTCCTAGAACTGCAGCACCCATCCAAGTGACATTCCACACGGCGTCTTGCAAATTGATGCGCTTGCTTCATTTACATCACATCAGTCGCTCATATCCACTCATGCCTCTCTTTATATCATCCTCCCTTTTCCTCTCTTACACACATGCCTGTCTGTCATGGTGTGGTCGACTTAGTGTGGTCGACCAGTGGTGGTCGTCGACCTGACTGGTCGACGGGCACAAGGAGACGCAACAGATCGATATGGTTGACCGGTCGACCAGGTTACCCGGGTGACGGGGTACTGCGGAGGTGCACGACAGTCGCACGGGTGGTTCTGGCAAAGCTGACCTCGGTGGTACAGTCAACAGCCTGTGGACGATTTGGTGTCTGCGCTGTGCGGGTGACGAAGCATAGCACGCCAATCAACTGCGAGCACCTGCGAAGTGGGTGCGCTGCAGTCCTGCGGATGCAACGCTGTGCAGCCGTCTTGCTGCAGCGTTGGCACGCCGTCGATTTGCAGCGTTGGCAGACCGTGACTTTGCACTGCTGGAGCGCGGTTGACCTTGCAGTACTGGAACGCGGTCGGCTGCATGCTTGCTAGCATCTGATGTAGTCTTTTTTGCCAACATTTTGCTATCATTGTTGTGAACTTTTGCTAGTGAAACTCTTGCCAATTCTCCCCGTGAATGCGCAAGTAGAGAGAACACAAGCAAACGACTAAGGAACGCTACGATCACTCCTACCCCGTGCCTTCCCCGTAGTCTAGCTCCCGTTGTACGAGTTATCTCTGCAACATGCTGCGGGTGTTCGGTTACAAGGCAGTCGCTTACGTCCCCTGGAAACACCGAAGTATGTTTGGGGTGATTGCAATCTGGTGTGCGCATGTAGGGATGGCTGCTGAGAGCAAGGGATGGCTGCTGTGGGAACCCAACAAGCGTGTGTTCTTTGACAGCCCGGATGTGAAATTCATTGAGGGGATGATGTATGGGAGCTGGGAGAAACAACCGGAGGCAAAGGTTTTCTAACAGATAGAGCAGATCACCATGCAGTTGGACCTGCAGAGGGTGGTGATGGAGAGAGGGTATAGGAGGCACCTGCTCGTGGAGGAGATGGTGGAGAGGCTAGTGGTAGCACTAGTGGAGCTGCTGGACCTGAGGGAGGAGAGCAGCAACAGGGCTAAGCTAAGGCTCCTACATTACCATCAAGGAGGAAACTGAACGGTGTTTTTATGAGAGGATGGGAGAGACGCGGCACCAGGCCAGGACGTACCTGTATGGCAATAGGGCAGCTGGCTGCAGGATCTGATATAGCGGAGCAGCAGCTTGGGAATGAGGAGGCAATGCTGATCCTTCCTCATGGCTATGACCCGGATGAGGAGGATGAACCAGCCTACTGTTTTATTGCCCCTGTAGCAGAGGAACCAGCTAGTATGGAGGAGGCACTAGCTGGACCAGATACGGACAAGTGGCTTGCCTCCAGGGATGCTGAGTACCAAAGCCAGCTACAGATTAGGACATGAGTAATAGGGGAGGAAGAAAGCGGTACAGTGCAAGTGGGTGCTGAGGATCAAGACTGATGACATGGGGCAGGTCACCATCTACAAGAGTAGGCTGGTGGCTAAAGGGTTTCAGCATAAGGAGAAGCAGGACTTCAACGAGATCTTTTTTCGCACTGCCAAACCCCCTACCCTCCATGTCTTGTTGGCAGATGCAGCCGTTAGTGGGAAGTACATCATTCAGATGGATGAATCAACGGCCTTCATCTAGGGGATTTTAGAGGAGGAGGTATACATGACGCATCCACCTGGGTATGAGGATGGTACGGCAAGGTGTGCAAGCTCAACAATTCCATCTACCACTTGAAGCAAATGCCACGCTGCTGGTACCAGAAGTTAGCAGCTTCTT